TAGTTTCTGTGTAGTCTTGTACATACAAGAATAGTATTTGTAACTTGTTTACTCTACTTTGGAAACTTGGATTGAACGGGAAAGAAGACTGTTATTCTATCCTCTGTATATTTACAAAAGTTACAAAAGTGCCATCAAACAACAATTTGGGGATTCAACATGCATAATCTTTAGTCCTCCCGTCTAAACTACTGCTATGTGAACACAAATATAGCTGTAAACTGAAGATACTTCACTGAATTCATTATCTACTGAAAGATGGTTACATACCCGCTCTGCTGGAACAACTGTTCCAGTGCCGCCATGGCGTTGTCCAGGTCGCTCGGCATGGCTAAGCCCGGTACTTAGAGGATGATTCAGGCCTTTGCCTGACCTGTCAACTTCTGCCATGTCACTGTGTTTTGAGAAGTAACAGAGGTTAGTCATGATCAGAACTAGTATTACTAAACTTACCTTAATTCTCGTTCACCCAGTTACCTAGCCTACCAGTTACCTATTCTACTTAATACCATAACAAAGAATATAACATGAAAATAACATAAGCAAAAAAAGTTGACCTCAAGTTTAAGTCCAATACTTAGAAAAACAGGTTGGGACAGTTCATCCTCACTTCAGGACGATTGAAATTTATTTTGGGGACAATAGGAAGAAAGGTTAATTTTGAGGCCTGCTCAAGTACCAGGTACATTGCCAAAACATAGACTCGTGCTTGTGCGATGGTGTTCCACAAGTCCATTTCCTTGGACAGCTGCTGGATCTTGTTCCCCATCTTGTCTGGCTGTGTCAGTCGTGTGGGGTACTGGAAGTCTTCAAATACCGTATCACTTCTTCTTCTCACCTGTTTTCTAGTGCCTCGCTTGGTTAAACAGGGTGCTGAGTGCCTGTGTGTGTTCGCTTGGTAGTTAAACAGGGTGCTGAGAGCCTGTGTGTGTTCGCTTGGTAGTTAAACAGGGTGCTGAGAGCCTGTGTGTGTTCGCTTGGTAGTTAAACAGGGTGCTGAGGGCCTGTGTGTGTGTTGCCTTGCCAGGACACTAAGGGACTTGATTTTACCTCCTGTATAAGACAAGATCACAACACATTCATTAACATCCGCCCAAAGACACTTCCACTTACTGCTGCGCATTCTACATGTATTTACCTTCCCTTCTCTCTTTCCAGACAAACGGTTTTATTAGGTGGTATACTTAAAATGATTCTTATACTATTAAGCACCAGGTAAGGCCACACCAATTTAATTCATTGTTTCTCGGATTTTTTCAGAAAAAATATGAAGCGACAGGCGAAATAAAAACAGGCATTGTTATATTGAAAAAAAAACTTAAACAACTAGGAAGAAAAGGACTTTCTTCAACTGTTCGGGTCAAAATAAGTCTTTCATTGAACATTTTGCAGTTGATTTAAAACGAATTTTTTTTTGCAAATCAGAAAAATATGGACAGGGCGAATCAACAGGGCGAAACAACAAATTAAATTTGTGTGGCCTAATGGTAGGACTTCAGCGGCAACGTTACATGAATTGTAAAAATATGTTTCCACGCACAGGCTGAACAGATGGAAAAATGTCATCTTCCATCACTTCAAGGTGCGCCTTCGAAAGCTCAGGTATGTCACCATCTGATCAGATGTGGGGCGCTGTGGATCACAATAGATTTTTTGCTGATATTCTACATTTTTAGGAAGTTATACGCCTTTAAACTCCGATTTTGGGGGTAATTTTTCGTTTAAAAACTCATTGTTCACTTTGCAAAATCAGGCATTTACTCAGACTACCTATGGGGCCTTATGTAACAAGTTATGATGATTGGCCATATTATGCGCTGCATTTTGGGCTTTAAATCAACAAAATCGGTCAATGCTATCTGTAGTTACGAGTGTTTAAAGCATTGCACCCCATCAGGCTGATTATCAAATCGGCGGGAATATAGCAATGCATCATGGGTAATTTGAAGACAGTGTGACTAAGAAAATGCGTCCTGTGCCCTAGCATTAAACCCAATTGACCTGAAATTTGGTATAGGCGTGACTTGGACATCTACCTAAAGGACGTTGTTAACGTTTATACCATTAACAACGTGAAATGACTTATTTTTGGACTTTTCAGCTAGTTTCCGACCATAAATGGTTAATTTAAGAGTCATTGCAGCACGAGAAACATTTTCAATGTGAATCTTAGTAGGCAAGTAGGGCTGGAGAAGGGAGTCCCATTCTAACGCCAGGACTGTATCATTACTTTTCATTGTATGTAAAGTCATGGAAAGGTGCGCTCATGACAGAATAATACTAAGGTTTCCTGGCTGTGACGTACGAGAGCTGGGAACGTCGAAGACGTTAACCACTGCACACGGTACAAAGCTGGTGGATACTGGCAAGCACGACCGTGAGGTGAGGTTAAGAAGAAGCCAGATTATCTTAACCAATACAACAAGCTCCTGGGATGTTGTGATTATTGTGGCATGTTTTGTCTACAAACCAATTTTCGCCGAGAATTATTGATGTTTGATTTTTTTTTCCCGGCCCTTTGGATTTAGTCCCAAGGCACGAGGTCCATTTTGATGACGTCATTTGGTCACGTGATTACACCAAGAAAGCTACTCATACAGACTTGCTATCATACATCAAAATAAACTTTGGTTATTGCAGATTCAAAAAATCTATGGTAGCACTGGTCCGTCTCGGTGGTACAAAAAACGGTCTCGGCCCATGGACTAAACTATCGCATAACATACAGTTGTACTATATATGGTCTACATACACACAGCTCTTTTACAATTAACATTGGACGAAAGCAAAAGTGTATATGAGAATATACCAGAGTGTAGAAAATTAAATATGGCTCCTCACTTTGGCCAGTCCCATTGAAGGGTGGGGCGAGAAAGGGTGTGTGCCTGGGGGAATATGTCTGGCATCTGCTGGTTAGACCGCTGATACAGCTGTTAGGCTGGAGGTACCTGCTGGCTAGATGGGTGGTAAAGCTGAAGGGGTGGCTACACCTTCTTACCAGAGGGCTTCTGATACAGTTGGTCGTCTGGCTGCACCTGCTGGCTAGATGGCTGATGCAATTGATCGACTGGCTAGATATCTGGTAGGCATTTCATTAAGTGGCCTGTTCGCACGGTAAACTTTTCTGAGCTGTCAAAACCTTCTATCAGCTTCTCAACAAGCGCCACTAACTTTACTGCATGTTCACTCTTGAACATCTAGCGTAATTGCCAGCCATCATCAAGGTTTCAACCCCCTTTGCAGCGGCGGCAAGCTGCTCCACCCTCTCGGCTTGGGCCCTCTGCGGCTCATTGCATTTATGAGTTTTATATATATTTTTTTTTTACAAATATTCAGAACATATTACAGACATCTGTCTGCTCTTTCTCTCTCTCTCTCTCTCCCTCTCTCTCTCTCTTTCTTTCTTTCTCCCCATGGCCATCTTTGACCATTCTCCCCACCTTTGACCATT